GAACAGTGCTGCAATGAACATGGGTGTGCATATATCTATTCGTGTGATGGCTCTTATTTCTCTAGGATATATTCCAAGGAGCAGGATAGCTGGATCGTATGTTACTCCTATTTCTAGCTTTTTAAGGAAGCGCCAAATCTATTTCCAAAGCGGTTGCTCCATTTTACATTCCCACCAACAGTGTATAAGTGTTCCAGTCTCTCCATCACCTCTTCAGCATTTATTATTTTGTGTTTTTTGGATTAATGCTAGCCTTGTTGGAGTGAGATGATATCTCATTGTGGTTTTGATCTGCATTTCTCTAATGGCTAAAAATCGTGAGCATTTCTTCATGTGTCTGTTAGCCACCTGAATCTCTTCTTCGGCAAAGTGCCTGTTCATAACCTTTGCCCATTTTTAAATTGGGTTATTTGTCTTTTTGTTGTTGAGGTTTTGCAGCATCTTGTAGATTTTAGAGATTAGACGCTGATCGGATTTGTCGTAGGCAAAAATTTTTTCCCAGTCTATAGGTTGTCTTTTTACTCTTTTGGTGAAGTCTTTTGACGAGCATAAGTGTTTGATTTTTAGGAGTTCCCATTTATCTAGTCTCTCTTCTGGTGCTTGTGCATTGTTACGTATGGTTTGTATTGTGTTTATGCTATGTATTAGGGCTCTTAGCGTTATCCCTATTTTTTCTTCCATGATCTTTATCGTTTTCGATTCTATATTTAGGTTTTTGATCCATTTTGAGATCCATTTTGGGCATGGTGTGAGGTATGGGTCTTGTTTCAGTTTTTTGCAGATGGATATCCAGTTATGCCCCAGCACTATTTGTTAAAGAGACTGTCTTTTCCCCAATTAACCAACTTTGGGCCTTTGTCAAATATCAGCTGCTCATAGGTAGATGAATTTATGTCTGGATTCTCAATTCTGTTCCATTGGTCTATGTATCTGTTGTTGTACCAATCCCAGGCTGTTTTGACTACCATGGTGGTATAATAGGTTCTAAGATCAGGTAGTGTGAGGCCTCCCACTTTGTTCTTCTCGAGTAATGCTTTACTTATTCGGGGGCTCTTCCCTTTCCATATGAAGTTGGTGATTTTTTTTCTCCATCTCATTAAAAAATGCTGGTGGAATTTGGATCAGGATTGTATTTTATCTGTAGATTGCTTTGGGTAGAATTGATATTTTCAAAATGTGGAGTCTACCTACCCATGAGCGAGGTACGTTTTTCCACTTATGCAGGTCTCTTTTGGTTTCCTGCAGTAGTGTCTTGAAGTTTTCATTGTGTAGATCTTTTACTTCTCTGTTTAGATTTATTCCTAACTATTTTATCTTCTTGGGGGCTGTTGTAAATGGTATTGATTTGGTGATTTCCTCTTCGAGGTTCTCTTTGTTGGTGTAAAGGAATCCAACTGATTTTTGTATGTTTATCTTGTATCCTGAAACTTTGCTGAAATCTTCTATTAGTCCCAGTAGTTTTCTTGTGTATTCTTTGCGGTTTTCTGTGTGTAAAGTCATATCATCTGCAAACAGAGATACTGTTACTTCTTCCCTATCAATCTGGATGCCTTTTATTTCTTTTTCTAGCCTAATTGTTCTGGCTAGGACGTCCAGCACAATGTTGAATAAGAGTGTTGATAAAGGGCATCCTTGTCTGGTTTAAGGTTCTAAAGGGGAATGCTTTCAAAGTCTCTCCATTTAGGATGATGTTGGCTGTTGGCTTTGTATAAATGTCCTTAATTACGTTGAGGAATTTCCCTTCTATTCCTATTTTATTGAGAGTTTTTATCATGAATGGGTGTTGGACTTTGTCGAATGCCTTTTCTGCAACGATTGATAAGACCATGTGGTTCTTGTCCTTTGTTTTATTTATGTGATGGATTACATTGATTGTTTTTCTAATGTTGAACCACTCCTGCATACCTGGTGTAAATCCCACTTGATCATGGTGAATTATTTTTTGGATATGTTGCTGAATTCTATTGGCTAGAATTTTGTTGAGGATTTTTGCATCAATGTTCATGAGGGATATTGGTCTGTAATTTTCTTCTTTCTGTGGTGTCTTTAGCTGGTTTTGGTATCAGGGTTATGCTGGCTTCATAGAATGAGTTTGGGAGTATTCCATC